ACCCAAAGTTATCATCAAGGCCATTTTATAATAATTTCGATTTTATCGCGTTCGATCGGTCGCGTCTAAAAGAAGGAAAACTCTCGTTAATCATACGCAGGGCGAAATATTTCTGAGATGTAAGTCGGTAATTACATAATTCCCTGAGGGTAAGAAAGCAAACCTTTCCCTGTACTATTCTCGCGGGAGTAGTACACGTCGTAAGATAAAAAAGAAAAGAAAAGAAAAGAAAAGAAAAGAAAAAAAAAAAAAAAAGAAAAGAAAAGAAAGAAAAAAAGAAAAAAAGAAAAAAAGAAAAAGCAAGAAGAAGAAGAAGAAGAAAAGCAAAAAAAGAGAAAGAAAATGAAAGAGAGGAGAGAGTTGGAGAGTTTGACAGGGTGGAGTTATGAGGGAGGGAATATAAATTTTTTTTTTTTTTAAGTATAAGATTTTTTCGAGACAAAACGGGTTTAAGGATGTAAGGATGTGTATGCGGTTGATAAGAAGATGGCAATACCGATTGTTACGAGGAAGACGGAAATAAGGGGAGCGGTTGGGATAGTTAAGAGGGTATAGTTAGGAGAAGGCTGCTGGCATATGGTAAATGAATTGCCGTTGAGCGGGATTGGGAGGACGCAATTACATTCCGATTGTTTCATCGTTTGAATAGTTTCCTCATCGATTGTATTGAATCTTAATTGGCTGTAGAGCTTGAAGTCTCGAAAGTACGATTGTCTAATGGATTACAGTAAAGAGAGAGAGAGAGAGAGAGAGAGAGAGAGAGAGAGACAGACAGAGAGTGAGAGAAATAGACAGAGTTTTTCTTGTTTGCCTGTGCAAGGAGCCTGCTTGAACAGCGATAATGTTGTTTTGCGAATCGAGACGGATATTCGAAAAGAGACGTTTCGACAATTATTTCATTAGTACCTTTCTTCCTTTTCATTTTCTTGGTACTACAATCCGATAATGAATTTTTTTTTTTTCTTCTTTTACTTATGTAGCTTACGAGTTCATTCGATTTGTTTTCTGTCTCTCTTCCTTTTTCATCATTTTTGTCTATTCTTTCGAAAGTAATGTATTCAATTAAAGATAACTTAAGAATAGCATTTGTTCATTTTAAATCAAACAGAGTCTAGGAACGATAAAAAGAGAAAGAGAGAGAGAGAGAGAGAGAGAGAGAGAGAGAGAGAGAGAGAGAGAGAAGGGACGATTATTTTGAATACATCCAGAGTAGGAATTTTTCAGTTTATCGAAAGAAGGGAAAATCATTTTTGGGAATGGATAAAATTGAAAGTAAAAAATTCAGATACATACAGGGATGAAAAAAGTTTTTTTATATTTTTTTCCCCTCTGATCACATCCTTTCATCTTTAATATGTCACATTTTATATTATTCCTTTTTGTCTAGATAGAAAGAGAGAGAGAGAGAGAGAGAGAGAGAGAGAGAGAGAGAGAGAGAGAGAGAGAGAGAGAGAGAGAGAGATTTTATTTAAAGCTCAAAGATGATTAAAAGAAGAAAGAGTACGTGAATACATTTGTATAGTACAAATCGATTAAATGTACCTATCAACGAGCTCGTTAATTTAGTTGCAAGTTTCATTACCGTAGAAGAGCTATTACAGATAATGTTATCGCTTTCTCGTAATGAATACGAACTTCATGAAAATGGATAGGAACGTTAATGTTCCGTTGAATCGTTTATTATCATTTATTAACGATCCATATTGCTTTCTTTATTTTTTTCTTCTTCTTTCTCTCATTTCTTTTTCGTTTCTTGTTCTCTTTCTTTCTTTCTTTTCTTTTTTTTTTCTTTTCTTTTTTTTTTTTTTTCTTTTTTTTTTTTTCTCTTTTTTCGTTCTTTTCTTTTTCTTCAAAACTCACCGAAGCCTCAGAACTTTATCAGTAAACATTGAAAACGCGATTGAGTACTTAAAGTACAAAATCTTTGTCGAGAAAGTTACTCGTCCCTTTTCATGATCTCGCCACATCAAAGACAAAGAGAGAAAGAGAAAGAAAGAGAGAGAGAGAGAGAGAGACAAAGAGAGAGAACATGTTCTTCACATTCGAGTCTTTCATAATCTCGAAAGTTTGGTCGAACGACGCGAGCTACTGTTACTCAAAGTAGAAGCCAATAGAGCCGTTTAATTGTTCGAAGAGGAAAATTTCTCAAAAGCGATAACGGAGATGTCAATCTAGCCCGAAGGTAGAACGAGGATGAGGCGGAGGTGGAAATGGAGGTGGAAGCAGAGATTTCAAGGATGAAACCGAAGAGTGAAGAGAAGAAGAAGAAGAAGAAGAAGAAGAAGAAGAAGAAGAAGAAGGTGCGGTACAGTGCGGTGCAGTGCGGTGCGGTACGATATGGTGCGGGTTTTCCGTTCTCGAGAGCCTGGTTTACCTTTCTTCCGCTTGAGGGTATCAACGGACAAGCTCAGACACGATGCCCATCAAACCTACGAACCTTCAAACTTACATCAACGAAATGAAAGCTTCCCTTCCTTCTTCTTCTTCTTCTTCTTCTCCTTTTCCTCCTCCTCCTCCTCCTCTTCCTCCTCCTTCTCTTCCTCATACTTCTCCTCCTTCTCCTTTTCCTCTTTCTCCTACTCTATTTCTATCTTACTTGATGCTCCCTTTCGATTCTCCAACTAGCTACCCTTCCAAAGAGAACGAAAGAGAAAGAGAAGATGGGAGGGTGGAAGATACGAGAGCTACTACTCTTCTTCGTCCTTGCCTTCTGTTCAAGGACGATATTCTGATAATAGAAGCTGGATCTATTGCCTTGAAACTTTCGATAAGCCGAACGGAGTTTAAGCATTACTAATAGGAAACTTTTCGTGGCACCTTGAGTGGTGCGGTAATGATATAAAGGATGTTTTATCTGACTCGCTCATTTCATCTTTATCTTCTTTGATTTAAATAATAATAATAACAATAATAATAATAATAATAATAATAATAATAATAATAATAATAATATAATAATAATATGTATATATAAACGTTTATCATGACGAATGAAAATTATTTTTCATTTTTTTCCTTTGTCATAAATTAAATACTTTCTAGAATATTTAGTATATTTGGACGACAAAAGAGATGAACTTAATCCGATGGAATATCTGTTCTGTGTGTATTTTAAAAATCGGTCATTCAAGATAATTTTCTTCGATAAAAATACATAAGTACGTGCGTGCGTGTTAGTGAGACTCGAATTTCTTCTTTTTTTTTACTTTATTTTTATTATTTTTTTTTTCTTTTTTTTTTTTTTTTTATGAGTCTAGTAAAAATCTCGAGATATCGAATCCGAACGATCATATATAATCAGCTTACATGCTTCTCCGAGACTTTCGCAAACAAGCGTGTAATTCCCCGTCGTATTTTCAGACGAAGAGTCATTTTAAATTAGTCCACATTTCTCCCCTCCTCTTCTGCCCCCTTCCCTGCTTTTATAGCTCTATAATCTCCTTTTCATCGTACGTAGCTATTATACAATGGGGAAAACTTGAAAAGAATTTTGCCGATCGAAATTTTCGTTATTCGAAATTGTTCTTAATATTTTATCAATCTCATGTCGATAATTTCAAAAGGCTTTTTAAGATTTATCATAACATATAATTTTAATCGATTATAATTAATATTTATTATGAAATAATAATGAAAAATGGATTGAATTATTTTCAGATTTTTATAAATAATTTTATATTTATGATATCGCGATAAATATTTGAAACAATTACGCTCTCCTTTTTTGTGCTAAATGCAATACGTTTTATATTATTTTTATTTAGAATATTATATATATATATATATATATATATATATATATATATATATATATAGAACGAAAAAAGATAGATACATGAGATCGATCAAAATCAAAGTGAAGAAATATTTAATAATATAAAATTATATCGAATCGACATTACGACAATTTCTACTCTCTCATTTAAACAAGAACATATAACCAATAAATGTGATTACCTGAGTGATAAATACACACATGAAAAGTCAAAGAGTAGAGTCGCGTGGACTCTCGAAGGATCGGTTTCTATCTCGCGAGAGTACGCAGTGAATCCATGGACCTAACATAGGTCGAGACATATCAGAAAAGAGAGAGAAAGAGAGAGAGAGAGAGAGAGAGAGAGAGAGAGAGTGAGAGAGAGAAGAGTGAGTGGGCCGAAGTGAACGGGGTAAAGAGAAGGGGATAGAGGTACCGAAGGAAAAGTCGAAAATCTTAATTCGAGAAGTCGGCGCCGCCTACGCGACGCGATGGGCGGCGACTCGTACACAGCGATTGGCTTGCTCGAGGGTAAGGGGTGAAGGGTAGTTCTCCGTTAGAGGGTGGGGGGTGGAGATATGCGCCGTGAGAGCCGAACGGCGTGTGCTGCGTCGAGACGCAACTCCGACTCGAGTCGAGATCTAGTTGTGGCTCCCCCCTCGAGGGCGAGGACGCCAGTCGACGCCGGGCGTCCCGAGCGTGCAGCAGCAAGCACGACGCGTGTATTTACGAGAACGTTTCATTCTTCGACCGTCGCGTTTAAATAACCGATTTTAAAATCGTACCAATTCGCAAAGAATTCATTCGTTCAATCTAATAATCGAAATAATTCAACTCGATTCTACGACTAGTCGTCGTATTTCAAAGCCTTTCGAAAATCTTGGGATTTTTATCGATCGATCGATCGATCGGTCGATCGATCGATCCTCAAAATTTTCATTTCGTATTTAGGTGCTTTCCCATTCCTAATAGTTCTTAGGATGCCTGGGACGGACGTGATCTTTTACAAAATTGTGTGAAATTGTAAGAAAAAAGTAGAGAGAGAGAGAGAGAGAGAGAAAGAGAGAGAGAGAAAGAGAGAGAGTGAAAGAGAGAGAGAGAGAGTGAGAGAGAGAGAGAGTGAGAGAGAGAAAGAAAGAAATAAAGACCATTTGAGATCGTAAGGTGATCGATCGTTTATGTTTTTTTTTTTTTGCTTTTTTTATTTCGTACAAAAGAGAAGATAATATATAGATAAAAGTACGTGAAAAAAAAGATCATAAAGAAATAGAATAAAATGGAAGCTCGTTATTATTATTACGACGATCGTTCTTCCATCAGTTCTTCATGGCCATGCTCGAAGTTTCACGAAAGAAGACGCGAGAGATCAAGGATCGAATTCGGTGCTAAGAAGAAAGCTTTTACCTTCGATCGGATCGAAGAAAAAAGAGAGGTCGCGATGCCTGAACTCAGAGACTTCGATGGTGAACGGCTCGCGTGTGAATGCCGACCGGAATCTTCTGCCGTATTGACGAGTGACGCGTACGCGGGTGATGAAGATAATGATCTACAAATCTCTAATTCTTCGTCTTCTACTACTATTACTACTACTACTACTACTACTACTACTACTACTACTACTTCCATCGATACATCATTTTCATCGCTTCGTTGTATCAAGAAGAAGAGAAGTTTCCCGATTTATATTCTACCAAGGATGGCCACACTTTTTATCTTCTTCGTTTGCATTCTCATGCAGGATGGACAGTCAACTTACGCGGCATTCACAACCGGTAAAAATTTCTTTTATTTACTTTTACCAAGTGTCCCCTTTCGTTGTTTGTACGGCGAACATACTCTCTCGTGGGAGCTCCGATTTGTATGCGTATTCTCGAACAAGAAGAAGAGTTATCGCTGGGAATATTTTTTTCTTTGTTTTTTTCTCCGCCCCTTCCCCATTTTTTTTCCTCCTTTTTTCTCTTTTTTTTTTCTTTTTTTCATTTTTTTTCATTTTCCATTTTTTTCGTAATCAATCCGAACGTCTGAATATTTGCATATCCATATTTCAATATTTTTCTTTCTCTCTACTTTACTTTGTTACTATTACCATGTATGTTAATAGCTGTTTAGAGAGTGTTAACATTTGAAATTACTTTGTTAATTCGACCGGATCTCGATTAATTACCGTATGCCAAATGTGGAATATCGATTGGACTATCGTAATATGAATTATCTACTATGTTGAGCAATCAGATTGATGGAGAAAATTAATTTTATCGATTGATCGTAAAAAAGTATTATTCGAAACGATCGTTCGATCGAAATATCATTTATAAAAATTTATAATTTGTAAGAACAAGACAGATCCTATTTATAATTTTTTTTTTCTTTTTAATTTTTCATCTAAAATAAATTAACGAAATTGATTTTGAGTTATGGAACTATAGAATTTTGTTGTTTATTTGACAATCGATCGAAAAGTCATCTTTTCCAATGGGATTTCCGGATAATAGAACGTTTCACCGCGGTCTATTTTTTAAACAATAAATCGAACGATAGATCGGCAACAGTGAAATATCGTATTATCGTGATCCTTTTCACAAATCGCGAATAGACAGGTCCATGGGAACCACCTGACGGTGGTCAATCAACGTTTACGTATATCGCGAAGTTTATCACGATCGGCGTACAATGTACTCACCCTTCCTCTTCTGTTACTCTCTGCTTGTTCACCGACCCCTCTTCACTTTTCACCCTCGAGCACATAGCCACGCACAAGCGTAGATCGCGTGCGACAAGCGTGACCGTTTGTACGACGATTTAAGCGCGCTCCATACGATCAGCACGTAATCTCGGATTTAATTTCGGTCACGTTAAAATCGGAAAAGTGACAACCTCCGTTTCGCGAGGTGTTCGCAGGGCATTACAGTTTCTCGCTAATAATTTTCTATGAATATGTGTATATCTATAATTTATATATATATATATATATATATATATATATATATATATATATATAATTGTATATTACATATATGTGCTTGTCCATTAACGCATAATACATTATTTGGAGTATTTCGTCGGATAATTAGTACGATAGGTAGATTGAATTATTCGCGCGGCCGATTTATCAGTAACATCTGATCGCTCGTATTTAATAATATTCGAAAATAGTATTTTCTTGGAAAAATTCATATTGTGCTTCTAGATCCTTAAATATTTCATGTCGATCACTGGAAATATTTATTTGATTTAATTTAATAATAATGTTTGAAAATTTTAAGATGATCGATAATTGATTGTCAATGTTAATTTATATGATATATTTATCTAATACTTCGTGGATTAAATCTTATTCCTATTAGAAAATATTAGAAGTATTTAATCCCAAGGAAGGAATCAAAATCAAAAGATTTAGCGTTATGTTCTATAACTTATATAACCTTAACGACTTATCGTCAAAACGATTTTATATTGACGATCTCGCTAAAATTGCGCTCGAACGTTAGAGATGAGCAGGCTCGCAACAAGCTCCATGTTTCAGCATGCATAATTCATAAGCGAGGCGTTACCACGAAACCTCAGGGGCGATAAATATTTTTTTCTTCTTTTCTTTTTTCTTTTTTTTTCTTTTTTTTTCAGAAGAGCGCATGCAAATACGATGCTTCCGCCGACTCTTGCTCGAACATTGAACGATTCGTTGCTTTTCTTACGTTTTATTTTAGCGCTCGATTACGTTCAAAAATAAATCCTTCGTTGTTTTCTTTTTTTAAATAATTATTACGCAGAAAACGAAAAGTCTTGATGAAAATTCTTACAAAAATTCAATCGATCTAGGACGACCATCATCATTTTCGTCTACAAAACATAGTCTATATCTATCTCTCTCTCTCTCTCTCTCTCTCTCTCTCTCTCTCTCTCTCTCTCTCTCTCTCTTTCACTCTTCTTTTTTTTTGCTTGCGTACAACATGCCAAAAGAAAAGGAATAGAAAACAATGTGTGCGCATTAAGCGACCTCTTTTTCCTTTTCCTCTCTCTCTCTCTCTCTCTCTCTCTCTCTCTCTCCCTCTTTCTCTGTTTCTCTCTCCGCTCGTGATTTCCAAATCCAATCGTTTTTACGAGTTTCCGTCGCACAGATTGCCGGTCTTGAAATCGGGATGGAGAGGCTATTATCATTCCGGTTGGCGGTCGCCGTTCGTGGATGTGAATTTTATACGGTGGTCATTCAATTCGCATGTTACTGCCCTCGAGTGCAATCTCTTAGGGACCTTTGCTGGATAAGGTATAGATAGACAGATAGATGGATACCAAAAGAGAGAGAGAGAGAGAGAGAGAGAGAGAATGTAGAAGGCACCCCTCTCATTGTCTTGATATCAGATCCCAGTTTGAACGGGGAATAAAACAGCTTTAGTCGCTCACCGACGATTGCCTTTACCAGCTTACACGTATACAACATAGATATATACACAGACATAGGCAAGGGAACCTGTTCTTCGTATATGTGTGCCGGTAATCTCGATAACGGCGCCACGAGGTTATCTAATTTCGATGAATTATTAAAGGAGCCCGATAACAACAGTCGCCTCGCGAATTGGCCCTCTGCGTGCATTTTGATCCCAGAATTTGAGCCCTCCTATCCTCTCCTCTCCTCTCCTATCCTCTTCTCTTCTCTTCCACCTCCTTCTCTTTCTCCTCTTCCTCCTCCTCCTCCTCCTCCTCTACCCCCTTCTCCTCCTCGTTGTAGTCATCCCATTTCGACCTTCCAACTCCTCCCTCGACGTTCCAACGAACGTCCCCTTTACCCTCCTTCGATTCGACCGTTCTCTCTACGGAATTATCTCATAGCCTAAGGGTGGCCATCTGTTTCGAGTGGGGTCCGGGACCGAAGGCACCCCTAATTAGGTAGAACGACAGTTGTAAGCGCGCTAAATCTAATATCTAATGTCCTCCTGCGAGGTTTCCACGCAGTACGTGTCGAAAATACGAAAGATTTCCATACGTTGTTATTCCGCAAAGAAAGAGAGAGAGAGAGAAAGAGAGAGAGAGAGAGGGAGAGAGAGAGAGAGAGAAAGAGAGAGAGAGAGAGGGAGAGAGAGAGAGAGAGAGAAAGAAATAGTTGGCTTTTCTCTCGTTCTACCCTCACCAAAGTGTCGTTAAAGGGGCTAAACCGTGGATGATCGTACATGGTGGGTGGTCCTAGAAAGAGGATATAAAAAAAGAAAAGTTTCCCTTCTTGTAATCACCGGAACGAATTTTTGTGGCGTCACGCGTTAGTTTCTATCTTCCTTTTCTTTCATTTTATTTTCTTTTTTCTTTCTATCTCTTTCTTTCTTGCGACTTCGTTGTACTTTTATTTCTTGTGTATGTGTGTGAGAGAAAGAAAGAGAGAGAAAGAGAGAGATAGATAGATAGATAGATAGAGAGAGAGAGAGAGAGAGAGAGAGAGAGAGAGAAAAGAAAAACTTCTTTTCTTTTTTTTTTTTTTTGTTATTATCGCAAGGAATTCTTTTTTATTCTTTTTATCTTTTGTTCAAATGTGCAATCGAATTATTTGTGAAAAGCTCATCGACATTTTTTCTCTTTCCTTTTCTTTCTCTTTCTCCCTTTTTTCGTAATTGCATCGAACGTAACTCGAGAAAGAAGGGTGACCTACACAGGGAGAAAAGAGTGGCTTCGCACTACCGTAGTCGGTTTAGTCACGTGAGATTCGTTCGGAGAAAGGACAAAGAGGGTTGTGAAAAATGTTGTAAGATACTTCTGACGATTGCTTTGGACACGATAATTCTAATTTTCACGCTTCGAGAAAAACGTTGCAAATATGCTTTTTCTTTCTTTCTTTCTTTTCTTTTCTTTTTTTTTTCTTTTTTTTCTTACTCACGTGGAAAACTTATTTTCCAATTTGTATCTATATTAAAGATTATCCTCTCTTTTGTTATTAATTAATAATTATTTATTTCTGAATAGAATTGTATATTAAAATTTGAAAAAGAAACAAAAAATTCTCTCTCTCTCTCTCTCTCTCTCTCTCTCTACCTCTCTTTGAAAACAATCTAAACTCTTAACACTTATCAACAAATTGTATTTCCTTAAAAACAAATAGCGCGTGTATGCTCTAATTTTGCCAAGGACGTCGGTTCGGTGAATGCACATCAATGCGGTTATACGAGATGAGCGAAAATGTTCATGTGTATATTGCTCGCGGGTATGGTAAACGTGTACGCATGAAACAACGAACTAGACGCCGGGGAGCAGAAAATACATCTACTGGTAATCATGCCCTTCGAAAATATATTGTGCTTGGATTAGCATAAAAAAGGAAGATTCAAAAATAGAGTTTAATGTATGCATTGTATTCGTAATTATCGACAGAAAATTGATTCGTAACTGTTAATTAATGTAATAAACGTATAAAGAAGAAAAAAAGAGAAAAAAGAAGAAGAAGAAGAAGAAGAAAAAAAATATATTATTCGACGAGTAAAAAGTTTTGATTTTTTGAAACATTATTTAAAAAATGAGGAAACGAGTTTCACAATAATGTTGGTATTTGAAGGATCGTATTCGAATGACGTTCACACGTGCGTAACCAATAGATTCACCCGACATATACAGGCACGTTATATGTGGTGTTGTATAAAGAACAGTGGAAAGGGAACGGTGGAGGAGAGGGTGAAAGCATATATACTCAGGGGATTCTCGATTCATGCATTTTATATTTCGACGGACTTTGATTCCTAGACGGGCCACACGTGGCCCACGGGAGTAATCCTTAATCTTTGATCGGAAATTATCTTTG